CAATTTGCACGATAGAATTGGATTTCGTAGTGGGATGTGCTAATAAATAGTCCACTAGATTACCGGGTCTTGGTGGCTGAAAATCCCTTCTTCCACGTTAGATAACTAATTATAATGAATAGCACATATCGATATTCATTATTTATAATTACCGAGTTGTCATCAAGTTTAAAGAATTCAGGGTGATTATCTAAAGATTTTCCTAATCGGCTCAATAAATTAGCACGTCCCTCAAGACCATCCAAAGGATTCGTAGTCTCGTTCACTTGAAATGCTTTGGCAACCTCATCAACAGTTATACCTTTTAGTCTTTGTGCTTTAAGTTCGTTTTACAAAACATTAAGTTAAAAATTTATGAATTATATTAAATTTAAATATATTATTGACAACATTTACCATCGACACGATGCGGTTGAGAATTATCACTTGAGAAAGATCCATTCTTAAACATATATAACGAGGCGATAGCAAGACCCTCAGATCTTTTATATATTTGTCCAGTTTCCTTTTCATGATACGACCATGCATTTCCCGCCCCTGCGTCTAATAACACCGAAACTACAAATAAGTCTAAAATGCGTCGTGCAGTTTCCAATTTACCACTGCTTTCCCAATTATCAATTAGTCGTTGTACACGCGAATGTCCATCAACCTCAAAATGACGCCAGCGACTGTGAGGAGGAATGGAGTTCAGGTCAGCATAATCACGTCTAATTAAAGAGATTACAAGGTCAACTGCATTGTCGAGTTGTGAGAAGTTCACCTCGAAATGGTGAAGTTGGTCTGCTCTGGCTGTTTCAAAAACCTTTTGCGAGCGTTCTCTAATAGCTGGAAGGCTCTTGAGATATTTTATCCGAGTTTGCAAGGAAGTCATTTGCGTATTAAACATTAACTGGGAAGAGAAGACATTAAATGAGACATAAAATAATTTCTTAACCGATGATCGGTAAAATGTTTTTTTGGTTTAGTTCAAACAATGGCCCTGCCACAAAAACTCAAAATACTGGTTGGTACATACAACATAAACCAACAACAGATCTATCAACCCCTAAAAGACTGGCTTTTCTCGCTCAACGACGATTCATCCTTTACGATTATCGATAAACCAGATGTTCTAGCAATTGGGTTTCAAGAATTTTCGTCTTATCCATATGCGTTTATAAAGGTAGACACCGCTCGACTTCAACACTATTCAGAACTCATAGAAAAAGCAATTATAGAATGCACCCACGAAAGTTATACTCAGGTGGTTAAAGAATGCATGGTTGGCTTGTCGTTATTTGTATATGTTCGTGATTCGACTGTAATGAGACACGTGAAACAAATCGAGACGGAAAAGGCGGGAGTTGGGCCTTTTTGGATAGGAAACAAAGGGGCCGTGGCGGCTTTTTTGAAACTTGGGTCATCTCGAGAGGACGGCGAGGATGAAAGAGGTGTCTCTTTATGTTTCATATGTGCTCATTTGGCGGCACATAATCATAACGTTCATTTGAGGAATACGCATTTTAAACGTTTATGCGAACGTCTACTATTTCCCAAAGCGAGTGAAGATAGAGAGTCGATAAAAGAGGAAGCGAGCACGTCATCAACGTCATTATTACCAAAAAGGTCGAATGCTTCAACATCAACTAAAGGGACCAATTTAGAAATAAACCGCGGAAATTATTATAGCATATATGATAGTGATTACTTATTCTTTTTTGGAGATCTAAATTATCGAATATCTTTGGAACACCCAACCCACCCAACAATCACTCTTGCCTCCTTGGTTAACGCGTTACGAGAACGACAACATCATCATCTTTATCGCTATGATCAGCTTTCCATAGCAAGAACAAAAGGCACCACATTACATGGATTTGAAGAAGGTCAACTGAGTTTTGCGCCAACATACAAATTTCATTTGGGCAGTAGTGAATATAATACGAAATTAAGAATTCCAGGATGGTGTGATAGAATTTTATATTTTTGGCATCGTGAAAATGATCAAGTCAATGCTAATAAAATTAGTGAAGCGGTTGTTGATTACGTAACATCAGCGGAAGGGTCAACTTCTACAGCAACGTCAAAGGAATCGATAGCGTTGAGAGAAAGCGAACCTTTAATCAAACTTGAAAATTATGTTTCTCACCCACAATACACATTATCTGATCATAAACCGGTCTCTGCACTATTCACGGTGACGACACTAAAACCAAGTCAGCGAAAGAGAACCTTTGAATCTCCCTTCAAGCTTGACCCCTGGTATAAGATGAAAAGACAAATCGGGGAAATTTTTGCAAGAATTGTTGGTGCGTTGTGGTGGATTGGTGGTACGCCAACTGGTGTTGGTATCTTGATTATCGGAGCTACGACGTTTGGTGTTGGTTATTATTATTTTTATTCTTATTACAAGGGTAAATTAATGCATGGTCCTTGATTTTGAATTATTTATGTATTATTATCATTATGTAATGTAATATGTAAGTTATTGCTATTCGAATCATTAAAATTATCACAGATCTTTTCTTTTGAAATTGATTGGATTAGCCTATCAGTGAAATAGATGTTCATTCAAAATCGCGTAAGATTATTATAAAATTCGGCCCTTAAACATGGCTCAACAACGCGCTCCCGAACTAATTCTACACTCACTACTCGTTAATTACTTATCGAAAGAGGACAATATAGAATCTAACGTTCCATTTCTTTTGGAAACGATAACTTTTCACCAACTTTTAAGTAGCATTAGTAGCGATGGTTCTGGCAGTGGGAAAACCGATTCCAATAACGATACTGCCGAGAAAATCAAGACACCGTTACACAAATGGTGTACACGAGTGAATTCTTTACTTTTGTCAAAGGTACCGAGTGCCAGGTGGGCCGGCGTATGTTTTGTTAAAGTTTCGATAGAGCAATCCTGGTTACTATTTACAGAAAACTTGAGTCAATGGAGTTCGGCGTTATTGAGTTTGCTTGCGGTTTGTTAGTTGGTTTTCTTTGTAATGTGATATTGTCTAATCGATCAAATTTGAAAGGCTTTAATATTTAATTACGATTGCATTAATAACTTGACAAATAATAATTAATATTAGAGGCCTGAACCAGTAACCACATTAAGAGTAACCATATCAACCTTATCAGAAATGTTTTCGAAAACCGTTGATAGACCGGAATTACAACGAGAAGTAACCTCACAACTATTACCTCGGTTTAATTCGTGTCTAATAAATCTATCAGGAAATAAAGATCTTTTGGTATTTATATTTTTTCTCTTCATTCTGATTGTAAAGCAAAGATACATTATCTTCTATTATTATTATTATTATTCTTATCATTATTGATATTATTAATAGCCTGTTATATTCAATGAATTAACAAGATCTGTGCAGCAATTTCCGTCCATGTTTCGTCCCATTTTACAAAACGCGCAAGGCTTATGTCTTTCTATATTCGATAATAATAGTGATGATAGTTATGATTCGGATTCTGAGGTCGTGAAAAAAGCTGCCAAATGTTATGCGAATATTTGTAACGCTGGTGGCAAGATTAGTGCTTCTGATCAGTGGCAGCTGTCGTTGACTTGGTTGGTGGGGTCTGCTCATGTAATTTTGGATCGGTTATTTGATACGATGGATGAAGGTTTGCTCATGTGTAATTCTTTTTGAATCTGAAAAATTCATTTTCTTATTTAGAGTTTGTTTGTCCATTGATAGAAAATAAATTTACTAAAAAACAGCAGCCACATCCTCCAGGTCAACATCAATTTGAATTTCTTAAAGTTACGGATGATTATATCATTGGCTTCCCTATCTTATTCAAAAGATTTAGAATTCTTTGTCAATTTATTGTATCTATGTTAAGGTAAATTTTCAACTATTAAAAGAATTCTTGGGTTTTAATTGACTTTTCTTTCCCTTAATAATAAATCTCAGTTCTACTAATTTAGCGAGTGTTCAAGTACCTGTTAATCTTTTGATGGGATTGATATGTAGAGTGTGTAACGTTTGTGATGGCGTGATTGTTAGTTTTTCTTTTATTATTGATTTTACTTTTTTCTTTTGAAGAATATTCATAAACATGATTTATTTATTAGGGGTCTGATAACAAGGATAAAAATGAATTTTCCATACTTTTAATTGGTCTTCCTACACTTCAATTGGCAATTAATAGAGTGCTTGGAAGTTTGATTCTATGGTAATTTTTATATTTATCTTCAATTTTCGTTAACATTACACAAGGTATTAAATGGTACGTATTTGCTTAAGCGTTGGTGATCACTTAATCCGTTATTTTAAACTAATATCGGAGATCCTGTTTAGACTTTTAAGTCATTACAAGAAACAATAGTAAAGTATCGTACATTTCTTTTTTTGTATATCCTGTACTTTGAATCTCCATATAACAGTTTATCTGAATTTATTATATGACAGTTTGGTACGAGCATCGACTTACAATTTATTCAATCTATGTATTCAAAAGTATCGAAATGGATTTCTTTTATCATCTTCCTCTTCATCCTCGTTGATTTTCAATATTGTTGAAGATCTTACTATAAATGATTTACAAATAGCAGCACTTGAAGGTAACTATGCAACTTTACTAATCCATTCTCCATCCACTTTCCAATTATACATATATAATAAAAAAGCAACTTTTTATATAGTGCTCAAAACGTCACTCTCCACAACCGGCAGCTCTTCAATTCCCCCAGCCTCCCGAACACTGCTCGACAACCTTCTTCTATCTCGAATCCTCGGCAATAACAACACCAAAACAAATCCCAAAATCAAACTAAGATTATACGAATGTTTATTGGCATCGGTTATTGCACCTTCAGAGTACCAAGCAAATATCCTTCCCTATGCGCTAAGGATATACACGTCGGGAATTAATGATGATTCTCTTGAGGTTTGTTGGATTCTATGGAATTCTCATGTTATTAGATTTATTTTATTAAATCATTAATGTTTTGAACGATAATTATTATAGATACAATCCTTTTGTTCGTATGCTTTGACGATATGTGATTTAATATATCATAGTAGATTACCGCCAATACAAAAATCTATTCCATCTACATCAACATCAAACTCGTCATCCATCGAACCGAGTTTAGAGAGACAAAATGTAAATAATTTTTTAAACGTTTTTTTTTTAAGATTTATATTTTTAATTTATATATACAACTTTTTTAGATAACAAATGAAGTGTCATCGTCAGCATCAATTCTATCATCAACTACCACTACAACTACTAAATCCGAAAAGAAAAATTGTAGATTACAGCCAATACAAAAATCTATTCCATCTACATCAACATCAAATTCGTCATCCATCGAACCGTCATTCATCGAACCGAGTTTAGAGAGACAAAATGTAAATATTTTTTAAACGTTTTTCTTAAGATTTATATTTTTTAATTTATATACAAACCTTTTTTAGATAACAAATGAAGTGTCATCGTCAGCATCAATTCTAACATCTACCACTACAACTACTAAATCCGAAAAGAAAAGATTATTTCCTTCAGAATTTGAAAATGCTTCTCAACCACGATTCAAGATGTATCGTGATAATAACCATGATGGTAATGACGACGACGACGACGACGACGACGAAGATATACCTGAAATTGTGGACGAAGGACCAGATTCGGAATATGATATCAATAATGATGAAAAGGAAGATAATGATTATTCCATGCTTGAATGAAAGAATATATGTTTATGATTATCTTGTTAATTCCACAAGTTTATTGTTTATTTATTTTTAATTTTTTTGGGATTAGTTTGTCACTAAAAATATAAAACATTTCTATAAAAAAGACATAGCATTTAATTCTGTTAAACATTCATAGCATTCATAGAAAGACAAAATGGAATTATCTATGATGTAATGAGGGGTTATGATGTATACAAGAAAAGAAAACGCGTGAATCGCGTGTATCATCTCCTTAACTATCTCCTTGTGATTTGGTGTTACCTTTAAAGAAAATTATAAAGTTCATTCATCACTCTGCCGAATGCACATATGCCAATTTCTTCCCACATTGTTCTGTGAGAGAAAAAAATAATGTCAAAACCACGTCCAGCCGTTCCGCCAAAACCTGCGCGTCTTTCAATCAACAATTCAAGAAAAAGTGAACAGAACCATGACTCACTCACAAATACACGAGAGTTAGAGCTACCAATTTGTGACTCGCCAAAGACAGAATCTCCTGTATGCTCTAGTCCGAAAACACCCACTAATGAAGAAGAAACCATAGCTATCAACACGAACAAGTCAAACGACGAACATTTAGTCTCGCCAACTTTGTCCGGACGTCAGGCGAGAGCTCTCTACGATTTCGAGGGGATACCGTCATATCGTGAACTTTCCTTTCGTGCGGGCGACGTTTTAACAATATTGAAACAACAACTGGCGGAAGGCTGGTCTTTAGGCCAAAAAGACGGAATAACTGGTCTAATTCCAGAGGCCTATATTACATATATTAATGATTTTACGGAATTACCTAATGCAACAGTAGAAAACACTTCTTATCAGCTTAGTAGTAGTAATAACTCCCCCTTGCCAACACCTATTACTATGCCAGCCACCCCCTTGACTGGTACATATAATAGTTTACTAAGAGGACGCCAATTAAATAGGTTTAGCTGGTTCGTTACCCTCGGAGCCGAAGAATTTATATTAAACGGTGGTGGTGGTGGCTTGAACGAGATCGATGTCACCTCGCGCCTGCAAGGAGTAAATGAGAATGAAGAAGAGGAAAATGATGAGATAACCGAATCTGATAAACATTACATTCAGAGTGGTCCTAGTTGGCGAGAAAAAACACCACCGTTCAAGGTTATGGTGCATAGTCCGGAAAGAAGAGTTAAATTGGGAGGAATGCAAGAGTATACTGTTTTTCATGTTACTTCTATGGTATATCTATCATCATTCGTTAATTTTTCACTGTGTAAAGCTTGATTTGAATTTATGTCTTAATTATTTATCGTTTGGTTCTCTTTAGTTTTCTGAAGGAGCCCAAGTCACCGTAGAAAGAAGATTTTCTCAATTTGAATGGTTGCACGATCGGCTATCAGTTAAATTTGGACCCTTAGTTATACCTCCACTTCCCGAAAAACAATATTCAGGTAATGAATGAATCAATTCCTTTAAAAAAATCTACATTGAAATATAATAATTTATTAAAATACGAATATTATTTTTATAAGGCCGATTCAACGGGGAATTCATAGAAAAACGTCGTCGTGCATTAGAGAGTTTTATTAATCGTTTGGCGCGTCATCCTGTGTTAAGATATTCTGACCTTTTGACACATTTTCTAAGTTGTGAAGATGATTCTGTATGTATTTTTATTTGCTTGTCTATACATGATAACAATTTTTGTAAGGTTTACGCTCATGAATAAATTATTATTAGGAATGGCGTAAACGCGAAAAATTATTTGATTCTGACAAAATAACAGGCCAGGCATTTTTCAAACATGTTTATCATCCGGAATTCAATATTGATGAAGGGTATGTAGTTTTGTTGTCATGTATATATTTTTTTTTCTTAGGATGATTTCATAATGTCATATATTATTATAGAGATATTGAAGCATTTGAGCGATTCCAAGCTTTTACACGCGGGATGGAAAAATTAATGCCGTATGTTAATGAAGCGTCAACTGCGCATAAAGATTCTATGAATGGTAAATTTACGGTCATTCAGCATAATGATAAATATTCAATCAATTAATTAATTGATTGATAATTTCAAAATAGAATCTCAACGGCAATATCGTCGTATTGGTTTTGATTTACTACGTCTTGTTACTGGACATAATGTCGGAGATGGAAATGAATGCATAAATGAAGAGGGCGCCTGGTGTTGGCGAGACGGATGCCAAAGTTGTCAAAATCTTACTAAAGCGATCCAGGCCACCGCTGAAAGTATGCAAACTATAGCGGACTTATATGACCTTTATGTAAGAAATATTTTTAATTTTTATACGTGTTGAATTGTTTTTTTAATTAATTTAACTCTGTATTTTTTGTCTCTCCGTGCGTAGACAAAAGACGAATGTATTACGCTCATAGAAAATTTCAAAGAATATAGTTATCCTGTTAGTAACTATGAGGTAATTAATTTATTATATTGTGAAATAAACTATTTTTTTATCATTTATAAATATAAAATATCAAAAATTATAAAATATAGGCACTAGTAGATACACACATGGGAACGTACAAGAAATTCAAAGAAGTTGCAATAACTGAAAATGATGAAGCGTCAAAAACAGAAGTATGCTATGTTTTGTTGTTAATTGCATTGTTATATTTATCAAACTCAATTTAATACTGTATTCTTTATCAAACTAACAGAATCCAGATTCTGAAGAGATTCGTTCGCGTTGTGAGACTGTGTTCAATGTGACACTTGCAGAAGTAGATCGAATTCATGATGAACGAGTAACTGATTTCAAAGACATTACCAAAAAATTTTTAGATGGGCAGATTGAATTATATGAAAAGGTAATACCCATTCGTTTTCCTGAATAAAATTTTATACATTTCTATATATTCAACACTATCATCATTATAAATGTCAGATACTCGAAGAACTTCGACAAGCGCGATCAAACTTTGATGACCCACACTATTCTTCCCTCTCACAAACGCCAATCTCATCCAGCAGATACGAGGCACTCATCGACGAACAAAGACCGATTTTATCACGCCCGGTGTCTGTTGCATCCGTCGGATCAATGTCGAGTGTAGTTGGTGGGGTGGTTGATGGGGTGGGAAGCATGGGAAGTTTCTTGTTAAAGAAAACTGCGAGAACTTCATTAGGTCGTGTTACTTCTACATCGTCGTCAATGTTTGATATATGGTGGGGTAGAAGCTGAAATTGTGTAACATTTATCTATTTTAATAATATTTGTACATTTTTTGTATTATTTCTTTTGTTAGCATCAGATAACAAACACACTTTTCTTGTATATATTATTGTATTTTAAATAGCTCGTAATCATAATGTCAACGTTTTATTATTATAATCATTCTAATTTATTTTGGTGCACAGGTTATCGAATAATAAAATTATCACATCCGACAAGAAAATTTAATTAATAAGTAACTCATTAATTAGTTATTTAATTTAGTTTGAGTTCTATGAGTTTAGTTTTCAATTCATATTTAAGTAGATTTTAGTTTTAAGAGATTTCTAAAGAATCTCTCTTGTAGAATAGATCTTGATTAAGATTTATTATTTTGTCTTATTAATAAACTGATTAATATATCTGTTTTGAAATTATACTTTGAAATTGGATTACATTCTAGCTAGTCACAATAAGAACATTATTATTATCTGCCTTTAGATAAATCTTAATATAATAATATTTGTATTCTTGTTGATAAACCTTTTAAAAACTCTCTCAATATTGAGATAAGCATATGATCACTTTTATTATATGCTTTTATAATATTAGGATCTCTCATATCAAATCCATACCAAAAAGATAATAATATTTTAAAGATTATACAAAAAATACTTTTATTATAATACTTATGCTAGTTTTGCTATGATCTAAATATCACTTTAACTGATATCATAATATTGGTTTTGTTATGATAATTTTGTCATAATCATCATATTTACAAAATTTTCTAAAAATATTTATAAATAATATTCTCTAAAGCTAATGTCCAATAAGATATAAGTAATTATTAATCTAATCATGTTATGATATGAAGCGACCAATAATATATAACTAATTATTATTCTACTAAAAGTTCATATCACAACAATATTTCCTTTCATAAAGAATTTTATCTATTGCCTAGATTAACAAAGGCATCGAATTCATCAATAATATACATGCCATCTATGAAGTGCATGCCTAAAAAATGAAATTCTCGCCCTATTACAAATGATCAAGTCAATAAATCATTTTGATAAAAAAAAAACAAAATAATTGCAACACTAACCGAATATCAAAATCGAAAATTGCAATTTCATGTCTCCCGGAATACTCTCTTCAGATTGATGTGCATGTTATGATATGAAGCGACCAATAATATATAACTAATTATTATTCTGCTAAAAGTTCATATCACAACAATATTTCCTTTCATAAAGAATTTTATCTATTGCCTAGATTAACAAAGGCATCGAAT